GTTTCAGAAATGAGTGCAAGATTGTCTTGACCGTATATTAAGATACTGTACAAAGGTTCGCCAGACACATTGTGAACAGTCCTATCAAAACCCAAAGTAAAATTTAACACAGCACCGAAGACCAACGTCCTACACAGAATTCGGTGTACAGAACGTGAGAGACACTGCGTAATACAGACAGGGAAGGAGGTTTCTCACGGCCAACACAAAGGCAAACGTGCTGTCAAAAGAAACGGCCAGTGTTCATTCGTCCTCGTGCAAAAAGATTAGAAAAGTCACGAAAAGGGGTGGGTAAACTTACCCATATTAGCCCATGCAAAAACATAAAAGAAAGCAGAGAACTGGAGCGTGGTGCTGAATTGAAACTGTTACTGCAAATCACAGTAATATCCGCCAAATCTACATACCACCATTGGCAACAAAACTACGACCGTACTGCTCAAAAAGGCAAGAAAAACCAGATGGACCAAGAAAATAATCAAGGGTACTGGAACACATTCAAACATGTAACATAAAGCAACCGAGCGAAGGACGAATAACTCCTTAACACAAGAATATCCTAATAGCCAATCGAACGTGAAGAACTATACTGGCATAAAACTAGCCACTGAATTAGGCAGAGATAAAAAGTACCAAGAAAAACCTGAGAGAAAAAGACCGCAGGGCAATAAAAATGAGAACGGACCAAATGAATCAAAGAAAAACTGCAAAAATCAGAGACCACAGTAAGAGGTAAACTAATAACGGGAGGACAGATAGTCACTCATCAGGAATGAGAAACCAGCTGAGCATAACCAAGATAAAAGTTTTTATAGAGAACCTACTCAGCGTACCGCTCACTCACGAAGAATACTGATTGCAACGGAGCTCTATTCTCAAAGTATCAATAGGATTCCACGAAAGCGTATCCAGTCAACCAGAGGCATTACAGATATCAGCTTGTCTTTGGAAACTACACGGCCTAAAACAACTGAGGATGGTGACGAAACTTGTGCAAGCTATCTGGTAAGTTAGGCGAACAAATCAACGTCTACGTGCTTGACTGCCATAGTTTTGCCTTTTAAAATTGTGGAAAAGTCTAGTGATGCGTATCCTGATGTTGGAATACTTCACAATTTCTTCGTGCGGCGTAACTCTTCCCAGAAAAAATGAGAGTACGAACCGCAAAGCATTGTTAGTTGCATGTTTGATTGCTGTAAAATGTGACTTCTTTCCTCAAAACGGTATCAGGTACGCGCCAAACACCATGGTGCGTGTAGAATGCACTGCGAAACATCATTTTGTCTCCTGATCAAATAAAGTGGGAGTTCTTACTTGCTTGCTCCACTGGTTCGTATGCAATCTAATGAGTTGAAATAAAATCCACGTGTTTTTGTGTTTTAAAGATAGAATGCCTCAGAGCATATTAGCCATCAAAACCAAAGCCAGTTACGTTTGTATGTAAGCAACATTTACTATCAGATTATTTATTGCCATCAGTATCTTCCGCAGCATGTTGAAGTACAAAGTTCCTGGTTCGAGACTGCTTATTGTGGCCTCGGAACCGCATCGGCTATATCCGCCATATGCATTGGTTATATCGATGCTCTCGGGCGTATCCACGCTGATCACGCATATCAGTGACAGATGAGAGAAATTATCAACCGGATCAAATAAATGTCCTGGATTGCAAACCGCGCTGTATTAGCACTCAACAAAGTGATCAACCAGGTGTCCAAGAAAAGTTAGCCAAGGTAGAAATAGAATCAATCAGTGGTTTACCCATGTTTATTAGAGGAAATCAATGGCCGTGAGAAAAGACCGGGTGCTTTTGAGGAAACCCGGTGGCTTAAAGGTAATCCTATTAGTAGCTACCTGAAGTAAGCCGGGTTGTCAGGTGTTGATGGACAAAGGAAAGAGATCAAAGTACCAAACGTTGTCATAATCAAACGGGGTAATGTTATATTAGACGGCTGATCGGATGATTGATCAGCAATTACCATCAGCCTAAGGAATAGAATCCTGCTAAGTGGAATATTGGACCGTACAACTTCTGGTGCACAGTCCCAGTTATTTGAAAAATGGAAACTAGTCAAACTAGGATCATAGACGACGGTTACGTGCGTGAAAGTTACGCAAGTGAGTGCCCTTACAGACATTGCAAAGAAATGTTGTAACGTATCTCTACCATTTTACGTTCGCATAAGTCATTCGTATATTTGTGTACAGGGCCCCAATCACTTGGTTGTCTCGTGATACAGTACTTTAAACACCCATATGTTCAAATTTCGGAGGTAGATATCTTGTGAGACATACATGTGTTATCGTTGGTACCCGTGGCAACACCGTACGGAACACCAGTGGTTATTTTGTGATTAACTTTGGTCTAATTTATCCCAGAAAGTGTCCACCACTAGACCATTAGGTATTGTTTCAGACTTTGAATCTCCAATTCAGTGACGCATCGAAAAAGAACACAAATGTGACAATGGCGATTTTCCAAGAGTTGATTAATCGGCTATCGCCAAAACTAAATTGATACAAGTGAGGTTCTGCAGGTTTTTGGGATCTTTTTTTAAACTCGGACAAGGATTTGGAAGAACAACAGTCAGAATTCATTTTCTGAAACCGAATGGAATTCAGGAGGTGCTTTGCAGGAGACGATGTATACCTAATTTGTTGCAACAGGCTAAGTGCTTTCCGCATTCCTCAAAATAAATAAATGAAAGTGGACTTGTACGCCCACAATTTTGAGCTTGTTCGTAATGAACAATTTGTATTTAAACGGGATAATTTCTTCATTAGCTCCTAATGAGTGCTGGGTTAGACAGTTTTTACAGACGGTATCTACCGGACCGTTGACCACAAACGATGTTCCCCTCGAGCGCTTTACTCCGAAGCTTGAGCGGTTGATAGTATACTTCTTGAAGCGGCACAACAACGGTGAACAAGTGTATGGAACTGGTGAAATGAAGAAGGTTTTTACTTCGGGGCTATTTATTGAAAAATACTAATTGAGCTGTTACACATTATTGGACAGGGAAGTGAAACTCTCATATGCATCTCGTTCATAAAAACTATGTATCCGTCCTCTTCTTGAACGTGTCTTCCTGAATTTTCCCTGGCTACCCATTGACCATCACTCAAACGCAAACGAATGCTGCAAAGTGATTTCACAAACTCCGTAATAAATCTCACTTTTCAATAGACGCGAAGCGGAATTATGCGAAAACCACATACTACTCCCATGCTTCATCAGTAGTATCCACTGTTACATTGGTAGCTGACGGTAGTCTTGGCACCTCATTTTGGAAAACGGAAAGAAGTCCTCACCTAATGAAAAACTACCGCATTTTTCAAGTTCTACTATAAGTGTTATGGTAGTTCAACAACTGTCGTAAGCTGCAGTTCGAATTTTAAAAACGGATTCATATCTGAAAGCACTTTTTGGGAATCAGTGGACAAGCGACTGCATTATTTGGACGAACGAACAAAAGAAACAAAACACATGTATAGGCCAAATATTCTTCTGCAATGTTCTGGAGACTTATTTGCATCTGGAAGAGTAGGTTCTCCAAATAGAGTTGTCGTTTAGTACTTTTGGATGGTTAGTGGGAACCGACTTCATCCTTATCAAAAATGGGTACTTTTCCTAGGAGTTATCTTTGATAATACAGGAGAGGATGAACATTTTCTGGAGGATAATTCATTCATTGCCTGATAAAGTCGGGACTGTTGCACTTATCCTTTCAAACTAACCGCCTCATAATCCAAACTTAAATCTCACTAGAAATTTCTGGATTTTTGTGACAAAAAGGATGCATGAAAACTGGCTCACCCTTTACAACACAAGAAATGAACAATACGGATTGATGCCAAAACCTGTAAGAGCATTTACTGAAAGCTTCAACTACCAGTATGCTAGCGTAATGTATTTCAACAGCAAAGAAGAATGCTTTAGTCTTGTTGAAGTTTCCATCTCCCCTCATAACACTATCCCAACCGTGATAACACTTGTGCTATCTCCGCAGACGTAACCATTTGGAAGAAGTTCAAGGACCATTAATCATGTGATTCTGAATATATTCATTTCGGTTGGCAAAGAAGACTCATCTGGAAAATAAGTTAGTGTATCCGGATCTCTCTTCCCCCGTTGTGTCCCAAGAACAGTGAAATCGGTCGTGGACGGTTAGAGAGTTTTCAGCCCACTGTCAAGAAAGTGTGTCCATTCTCGTTTTGAAATTTATTCGTATTTTGTGTGAAAGTTGTCTAGCCCATATTTTGTTGTTCCACTGCCTACTTTTGTTTCGGAATCTTGTGTATTCGGGCGCGCAGAACGTGGAAGTGAATGTTGTCATGCTAAAGCGTGAAATGCTTTGCTGCCAGTGTAGGTTTCTCGCCACACATGTAGCGTAAAACCCTCAAAACCATTTGAACTTTTGACCAGGTTAGATCGGATCACTGTTTGAACCGACATGTAAGCAGAACATTTATCTTGAGGGAACTGGCAGTACTTGCGACAGGTTGTTGCCTACGGCCACCTAAAGTTTCCGCAAATGGACGAAGGTCGTGTGACCTGCATTTGACTAACCGTCTTGCCGTATATTCGGTTACCCCGTGAGACGACTACGCGACCGCCTGGCTCGCGTGAGAACTGTCTACTTAGCTGTCCCTACTTTAACTGTCTCTCCTTCACTCTGTCGCCTTTCAGCTCCTCCAAACCCACAAATTTCCGGACGGTTACGCACGCACACAGGCCAACACGCATAGACCCTGCACACCGATGCACGTACATCCTACGCCTACAAACCACTGCGAGCGTCAAGAGTGCTATATGCAACAGGCATGTATACAAGCCAGCGGCAGAGCGACACGCAGAGGTTGGATGGCTCAGCTTGCGCAGTGGGCGTGTGGTGATGATGTCGTTCACAAAGAAGCACACATACGCACACGCCAAGCGCGCACACCTTACAGCCAAGCGCACACAAACACTGTAGTGCTGAACAAACTACAATCACTGACACTGATGTCTTAATTCGCAGCAGTTAAGAAGACGAGCTTGGGTTTGGTGATTTTTACGTTCTTGAACCACGTCGTTATCTAACACATGCCTCTAACTGCCAATAAAACACCAGTACTAATAGGCAACCCGTCTCCTGCGTGTGTCATCCAAGTGTGTGTTGCCGGTGGCTCAGACCAGACAAATTTGTTCGTTCTCTCTGTGGCGGCCTGCTTGTAATCCCGTAACACGACCCTGAAACCTGATTCACCCAGTTTCTACTGAAAGGACTATAACTAAAGTGTTGTGTAGGAAAAGAACACTGTCTGAAACAAACAAAATGCTCACAACTGGATTATCGGAATCTGGTTTATGCCAAAAACACGAGGATCTTAATAATGATGGAGATTTATGTGAACAGCCGCCGGCAAAGCTGACAATTCGCATGGCAGCTCAGGACAGTTCGTATTTTGACTCGGTGATTAGTTCTTTCGCGGGTCAAGTAAATCCGATTGAAACTGTGAACTACAGTGGTAAGTACAGTCCATCAGGGACGCATTCTGCGGAAAACTCCGTGAGTGACAGTGATGCGAAACCCCACCCACCTGTGTGCGTCAATGGAGTGCTACCGAATGCTTTCCCGGTTGAGAAAATGTCACGAACCAATCTGTATATAAAGGGGTTGCCTGACAGTTTCAACGATGATAAATTGTGGAATCTACCCCCGCAAAGTGACCAGATCAAATCGGTGAAAGCAGCTACAGATGACGATGGAAAATGTCGTGGTGAGTCAAACAAATTTTCACACTTCCTAATTGGAAACTAATCGAAATGACATTTAGGCAACAAAATGATTAATCTAATCACGGACAGTTTAGTCATTGTTTAGTTGCAGCATTTAAAAGAGACAAGTGGCTACTAATGAAATACCACTCCAACACTTTCGTTAGTACAACGGTTGTTGTTCCAGTGTGTGGCGAATCAGGCAAAAATCACGTGACCACTTAAGTTAATTGCTTTACTAATGAGATCATGAATAGGTTTACATACTAAGATCACGTCGATGGTTGGTTGTGATTTTCTTTTAGAATAGATCAACTCAAGGCTGGCGGGTTGAAAAAAAATCCGACTGCCTAGTTTATCCCAACCGGTAACTTGTGACCACGTTTATTTACAGCACAAGGCAACAAGGGGAAAGCACCAACCTGACCAAGTTGGTGACCTGCTCACATGACCTGATGAGGCTCCTGTGTCAAAAGCGATAATTTGCCCATTTGAAAGCCACCTATTGTTTACCAAGGCAATCTGAAACACCGGATTTGGTCTGACGGAAAATCCTCCGTTTACTTAGTAAAAAACCTGATAAAACTTGCTTTGCTATTGAGATGATCAAATGGGCCTTGTTTTTCCCCACTGCCATCTCAGTTTCTATAAGTGCCTGTTTCCACGTGGGTCTGATTTAGTCTTCAAGTCTGAAATGATACCGAAAGCAATTTTTAGGCCATTTGAAGCGACTTTTGTGCAATACAAGCAGTTAAAGAATGTTGTAGGCTGGGCATTTGGACACTTCTCTTCCTAATGCCATTCTTGTTTGCAAAATGTGTTTGTGCAGGTAGATATTAGACTTTGCACCGAACTCCATTTGGTACTTCTGTCAAGATTTGGCCTGAGGAGACTGTGAATATCAATCACTATTTTTTGGAGCGTTTTTAGTCCTCTTGGCGGAGAGCATACCCATTAAACTTTACCTACTCATATATTCTGACGGTTAATAACCGCTTTAGTTCAGCTACTTAAATCAAAGTTTCACATGCTGCTGGAAAGATTTGCAAACCCTGGTTAAATATCCCAGGGTGGCGGGATTCTAAAAAAAATCAACCAGTGTTGAGTGTTAACGACATCTACCAATGTAATGTAGTAGATATTTCTAGAAACCAGAGAAACGAGTTAAGCTTAAAATATATTTGATACCTTACACAACTCGCATTTTTGTGGGAAATGAAATCTTGGCAGCGGTAGTTCTGGTGCATGTAATGTCAAAAAGTGAGACACAGGTTAAGAAATTCGGCTGTTGCAGGTGCTGCCGTGCCCAGTGGCAAACAAAAGGTGTTTGGGAAATCGGTATGGCAACCAACCAAAGGCAACGGACATCTGTCTCCCAAACGCCTTGGTAGTGAACACTGTGAATACGTTTCTCCAACCGATGCATATCGGTTTCCTCTCTTCTGGCCACGATTCTCAAATATTTTCTGGGATAGCAGATGGTACCCTGCAGTGTAATACTATGTAAGTGCTAACTAACTGTCGCTCTGTAAGGTTCGAAGTCACCATACTTTGCCTATCGTTTGGTACAGACTTGTTATGTAGCGGCGGTTATCTCAGTTAAGGGATGTTATGTATAATCCAAGCCAAAATTTTTCAGTACATACAGGTGTTTCACAACTGTGCTACGAGTATTAGTGATGTAAATCAGTAGGTGCACCAGCAGGGAGTTGCGATTCATCAGCTGTTACCAAATTTAAAAAAGTACATAAGGACAACTGAGAAAACAATGTGGTTTGTCACTCGCTGTAACTTCACTGGTCTGTTTTCAGACTGGGACACTTGCTCTGACGAATATTCTGATGCTATTTTACGGGCATCAGGAACGATATCCTACAAAGATGATGCACTCACACATTCTGACGTAGTTAAAACAGTGTAGTGCATAAAGACCCCTCTATTGGTTTCCACGCATCTTTTCTAGCTTGATCAACTCAAACAAGGACGAAAGCAGTAATGGGCTGCCGTTAGACTTTAACGATATTATGAGTAACGCTAAAGCCATATAGTCCGTTTGGTAGCTGTAAAATACTTCGACGGAGTTAATGTTTTGCTGTGTGGAATTTTTCTAATCTTAATCAAAACTTTAGGGGAATTTGTGTGTAAAACTAAAGGAAAATAGCTGGTGCATAATGAGTTGCTTCAGATGCAACATTACTGGCAGCTTTAATTTCTACTTCAGCTTTGGTAACTGGCTAAGGTCTTCATTTCGTTCAGTGAAGTCCAAAAGGTCGCAAGCCACTGCCTAAGGACTGCATCACCCTACGGATCGGCATGTTATTTTATTTTATATTTTACGACAATGAAAGTCAAACCTTGTTGTGTAGCAACCAAGAGTTGTGCCAGAATGATTACTCATTAGTCGACGGTTGAAGCCAACAACAAGCTACCACACACAGTATCCTGAAAATGACATACGAAACTAAGGAAGATTTGAAAGAATTAGGAGATAGTTTTTAAGTTAACGCGAACTTAAAAATAATTCTGCCGAATTTCACAAGCTTGCACGAATAACGCCCGACTATTTCAAAAGATGTTCCTTAGGAAACCCAAGGGTTTTTCTCAGGCACACTACAAATTCTAATCAGGTTACCTGAAAGAATCTTCGGCGCTAGTGCATATAGGCTAAAAAACAATACAGCTGCTTGAATCCCGCTGAACTTCATTATGGGACATTTACGAAATGGGTCACTCGGCTCAGTGTTCTGTTTGATTACAAGATCCAAGACTACAATTTCGCCCCTGAGATGTTTCTCGCTCAGGTTAAGTTCACTGTAGTGGATATATACATTTCACTCAATGATTCGTTGAACCACAATTGGTCTTTTTTTCTCAAATTACTTCCTTTTTTGCACGCGTAAGTTCGTCAGATTGCAGTAGGGAAATGTTTAGATGGAGTTGCTTTGCTTTGGAAAAAAGATCACGGCAGCGTTTCATCACAGAGCGACACATCTGAAACGGTAAATTACGTACAGAGATAGACGACGTTGGCATTGTCTGACTCACTATCATATAATGTGTTTACACTGGATTACATTAGTCATGCGTGGACGAAAAAGCGCCGCTGTTAACGTTTCAATAGATGAGCAACATAATGATTTCGGGTTTGTTTTTGAGATGCCGAAAAGTTGTTTACTTCAGGCTAATTCATGGACCACTTTTAGGTTAATCTCATGCTAGTCTACATTTAGTCTACATTGGAAGGGAAGGTTATTCTTCAAGAATGAAGCTTTTCGATTCGAGTATTTGGATTTTGGTTCAGTTCTGTTTGGTAGGTGCAACTGAAAGCCATCTGCCATCAAATTCTTGTGACTACCCATCAACTATTCACGCAGTGAATCCCATTATACGGTGAATCTCCAAAAGTTCCCCATAACCTAGGGACCAACGATCTTTCAGACACTTCTGCTCAGTTACAAAATATTTTTCCAGTAGCACAGATGACTATCCCTTTCGGTGGTCCCTGGAAATAACCCCCAATGCAGAGTGTAATGAAATTTGATCTTATTAAAAAATCGGTTGTTTATTCAATTCACAATAGCACTCTTCGGATCATCTAGATTTCAAGACTTAAAGTACATCTGAAGCATCTTTCTGGCGTGTCGTTAAAGTTGTCTTTGGAGTAGAAGTGAATCCATCTCAGTTCACTATCATTACACTGTTGTGAAACAAATGAATAGGTGTTAACGATGGATCGGGCTTTAAATTTTGTTTTGTATACAGCATATAGAAAACAACACATCCCCAGCCCAATTATTCCCCTCAGTAGTTGCTCGTTACATAAGCAGCTGGATCGCATGACTATCGTTTTCTATGAATGCTCCATGTTGATGGGACCTTGAGTGAGAAATGTTCGTTATTGGTTAAAAATGCCTTCAGCGTTTGTTGCTGAATTGCATAGAGAAATAAGCTTTTTCATACTGTCCTCATGATTGAATTATTTTTGGGTGAAAAAAGCGCGCTTTGATAAAATGTAGATTCAGTTCAAAACAGTAAGCGAATCTGCCGAATGAAAGTATTTTCAGTTAAACTAGTCTGTGTTGGCCTATAAAACAAACCAAACTGATCTTGTTGTTGTGATCCTTCCACTGGTGAAAAAATCCGACTGTCTAGTGAAGACACCTGGGTTTCCTTTTTCACTTACTGAATCCTCAGATTTGACGATTTGGGCCAAGAGTTTGCCGTTATGATGCTCCAAACAAATAATGATCGCATAGTTGTTCGCGTCTAGTTTTTGATGTCAGAATACAGATTCAGTCTGCCTAACTCCAAGGTCCGGCTGTGGATGGGACTTCAACAATTTCGAGGCAATTTCTTTCACAACGGTAAAGAATCGACAAAAATTTGTCTCCAGGTTAATGAAGCTGAGGTGTTTCGGAGAAACAACACCACCTATGCCACCGATACATTAGAGTTTGAAAAATCTCTCCATGTTCCAAATTCGCTTTTGCCATATTTAAGAACGAGACAAGTGTTTTTTTACCTTATATACCTTATTAAAATGGTTCATGTGCCATCGGAGCAGGATTCTGGGCCTTCTTCAGGCTGTTGAATAAGTTTCACATTCATTTATGGACATCGCACGCAAAAATAGCGCAAACTGATCACCAGCTTGAGCCTAAATGGGCGAATACCACACCCATGGAGTAGCGGAATATGTGAACTGTAGTTGTCTCCGTCTCATACCCTTTTATGAAACATCTTTGCGGTAAATAAGCCATGTTTTATTGTATTATATTCAGAGTAGATTCATCTCCCTACTAGCTAATCAGAGATAAGTGGTGAGAGTGCGATATTATGTGAAAACGGGGGGTCTCAGATGTTGATGTCAGCTGGTTAGTAAGCCAGACTGCTACCTAGCGTTGGATGTCAGCCTCTAGGTTGCGACCACTTCATCCGTTTATAAAAGCCGTACTTCCCCAAATCTGATTTATCATGACTTTTGGCATGTCACTAATTCGTG